ACCTACAGGGCTGAATATTCATTTCATCTCATACTAACAAAAAGTTTTATTTCTGTTTTATGACAAAAAATATCACGGCAATTAAGAGGCAATTATTGTACCTACTCGTCCACTTCATTTTATTTAAATTATATAGTTAGTAGTTCATTTAAAGATAAATGTTATACATACAACATATATGATATGATGCATTGTTATCATATCATCAAGTAGTTTAAATGAGCTACTTAAAGCAGCGACATCATAAAATACAGCATACACAGTAATTCATCCAAAACAACATTAATCTAATAATATTTACACTTCCGTGCTCAAGATTTTGATGACTTTTACTTGGAGTTGAGTCATTTTAACTTCAGGTGTTGCCTCCTTTAGTTGGACGCGGAAACTCTGAGTACTTCTTCCAGCGCTGTTGAAATCTGGGATCAAAATAAATCAATCGAAGCCCAGCATACTTTGTTTTACAGCGGAGATTACTTGCATGTGGAAAACTCTGCGTTATCGTTCAATTTATAGTTTTCACGTTTTTCAAATGTAGGACGGGAAAAAAGAAGTTCTGCAGCAGATAAAAAGACTTCCTGTCCACCAAGGTGTACCTGCTGTGGATCGGAGACTTGGATCCGTGAAGATGGTGCGAATGAAGTTTGGTAAGGCAGAGACACAGCAGGTCAAATGTGTTCCACAAACAGACACACTGAGGGTTTATGTGATGACGGGGAGGTCTGAGCCAGTCATCCTAGTCTAGAGTGGATGAGCCCTTTCTCGTCCAAACAGGAACAATTAGAAAGAAATGACTTTGAGATTTGTCCAATATCCACTTCTGATTAGTCTGCATGTATGGTTGTGTGGTTTAATTTAATCGTGATCTTTACATGCGATATAATAAAAACTGAAAAAGTATGCGTGTGACTCACAAAGCACCACGGAGGGTGAAAAAAAAATCCAGCTGAATATTAATTAGCCGTGATAATGATTGTGGCGTGTTGCTGCTTGGCGGGGGTGCAACTTGTTAAGATTCTGTCAGCTTTAAACCGCTCATTAGTTTAACAGCTCCACCACAGACCTGCAGGTATCACATGCACGACAGGACGTCAGCTCTGAGGAATCTATGGCCGCACATCTGAGAACACAAAGACACCTGTTAGTTTCAAATCAATATCAGCTTTCAATACATTTCATTAGATTTGTTCTGCTGAATCTAGAGCACCATATGAGTAATGAGCTTTTATGAGTTAGTGTAATGTATTATTGTCTAATAATAGAGTTTACAAAAGTAGATTCATGTAAGTCATCCTTTTGGTTGAGGAGGAAACCTCGGCATGTTGTCCTCCTTCACGTTGCCACTAAAGATGCAGCTCTTTATCCACAGCTTCTAAAATTGACATACGAGGTCGACACAAACTGCACAGCTTGGCTCTCACACCTTCAGCATAAATTAAAAAAAAAATCTAGTCAGAATGTCAAAGTGCTGCACATCAAGAGACTCTTTGGAAATAATCATCTCACAAATCTGGAAATGATTATTCGGTCCAGGGAACATTTCCTCACCAGCTTACATCATATCGAAGGATTTCCGTCACTTGTGTTTGTTTTTCAAAGGGGTGTGTGTGTGTGTGTGTGTGTGTGTGTGTGTGTGTGTAGGCAGAAGAGTGTTGAAATAAAGGAGGAAACACCTCCGTTGAACCCGGAGGTCCTGCCTGATAACGGACACGCACACATGTACCGTGAATGAAAGCAGCGTCGAGGCATGATGTCTGTGCTGTGTCACCGCTGAAGCCCCCTTGCTGTGAAGGGGGGGTGGGGGGGGGAGAATGTGGGGGTGTCCTGCGTGGAGCATCGGCTGTGGGAGGCAGAGCAGGGGTACGAGGCCCAGATGGATGTCAGGGCAAACATCTGTTCCACCTCCTGGCAGAGTCTTATCAGCAGAAATGCTTTGCCACACACACACACACACACACACACACACACACACACACACACACACACACACACACACACACACACACTGGATGAGAGAGAGAGAAAGGGGCATTCTTTGCAGGGTTTAAGAAAACATGCATTATGTTTGTCCTGTAAACGAAAGTTAGGTTCCCCGTCAGGTCGCGGGTTTGCATTTCACAGAGCTCACAGGGTTCCTTCTGTTGGGTGTGACCGCACTCGTTTATACTTCTGGTCGGTCTTCATACTGCATGTGGCACACTTTCATCCTTAGAGTTATATACTAGTGTATACGTACAAAAAATATTCAAAATCCAATGATTCGTCTTGGAATGCGTCCCAACCAAAGGGGCAAATGCAATTTTAAAGTCTGTCCCTTAAACGTGCATCACTTTGTGTATTTATATAATCACTGTATTCTGTCACGAGGTTAGATTCAACCTTTTGTCAGATCAAAAAAAAATGGAAACAAATTCAAGAATATTGGAATGTAGAATATTTCACTCATTTGTAAAACTGCAGCGGTTTGAATGCACTAATATCTACTTTAGAAATGTTTCCTAAAATCTGTCATATAACATATTGAATTTGATGCTGCCGATACTTTTGTTTTTGTTGATATTTTACCTCTCTGTAACATGTTTTAATATAGGCAAATGTGGATTCATCAAAAGCTTTATCCATTTAAAATAGAAAAAAATCATTTGTCATTATTGGAGTAAAGATAAGTGAGCAGCAGTGAAAGCACTCGGGCAGCTACTTCACTGTTTGAGGAGTCACGCTGAGTTTGTGCTGGAAAAGATAAAAGGTGGTTAAAGTGTGAGGATAATATTTTGTTAAAAAGCCCACATGGCTTCGTTCACTCTGCAGTCGGTCTACTTCTGTCACTGTCGGATCACCACTGTTGACTTTCAGCCGGTGCTCAAACACGATTCCTTGTGATGCGTGTGTACTGTACACACTCACACTCTGTAACCAGGTTGTTAATGCAAAACCGAGAAGACAAACTGTGAATAACCTGCGCCGGAGGCTGCGGCTTTGCACGTCGGAGGAGAATTGTTTTGTGGTGAGTTGAGTTCCCTTTTGTGTGCGCGTCTCGTTCTCTACATGCACAATCTTCCCCTCTGGCATCCCTGCGTGTTTTTCGCCCTTTTGTGACAAATCGCACCTTCACTTTATATTACCGCCAACAATTAGGCTTGCCATAGTTTGTTAGGTTTCTCAAAGTGTTTTTCCTCCCTTCCAGGCAGCCATTAATTACCATTAATTTTAGGGAATTATAAAAAAAAAAAAGAAGAAATAAAGAAACTTGCAGAGACTTGAATTGTTTCTTGAGAGAGATACTGTATCCATCACAGTAAACATCAGTGATGCACAGATTGATTAAAACAATAACATAACTTTGCAGAAAGTTATCCATAAGCCTCACCGAGGGTCTGCTGCCAACGAGAACTCTCTGATCAGAACCAGCGATTAAACAGGTACAGGTTCAGTGTGGAGGAGAGCATCGGCAGCATCTCTTTTTTACCGGGGGAATACAATCTGTACAGACAGAAAGAGAGAGTGTGGAGGGGTGGAGGAGAGAGAGTTTCTCCCGGGAGGGCTGCTTCGCTGAGGTCCCGGCCTCCTCGCTTCCCCCTGGGCATCCTGGATGCCCATGCTGAGGGAGGGCTGCTGCTGCTTCGGCGTGACCAAAGGGAAGCAGAGCGAGTAAGAGAGAGACGGAGGGATGGAGACAACCTGAATGAAAACAAAAAACGGTGAGGAGAGAGAGAGATGAAGAGGACTCAAAAAAACAGGGAGAAAGTGAGAGCGACAGGAAGAGAAAATGGAAGGGGACGGGGGGGGGAGACGAGCGCACCGGCCCATGGTTTGTCTCAGGGCTGCAGCAGCTTCCAGAGCTGGTGTGCAGCAGACTGAAGAGAAGCACGTCTGCCCCAGAGGCAGAGACTGGAAAACAGGATCAAAGAGTCGCCGGGGCAACCTGCATGACACACATTGTATTAAAGCCACACGGTTAATTTGAAAGAGGGGGGGGGGGCAAGAGGAGAGGAGAGGAGAAGAAAAGGGGAGGCAGAGGTAGTACGGAGCCGAGAATATTTATTAGGAGCTCCTGTCTCACTCGGTTAACTTTCCACTCAAAACTTTCTTCAGCTGCTCCGCTTTGACTTTGAGTGCTTTTCTGTTGTTACTTTGACTCAACCTCATCTGGCTCATCGGCGTTTTCCCCCAATTATCTTCCAGGGTCTCGGGTTTCCACGGGTCACCTTAAATCACAAATCAGAGACATTGTGAAGAAAATGCCATCACGCATTTCCTCCTGATACATGAAGTATGAACGTTACATTGTATGTAATATCTACTAAAAGTAAGAATCCAGTCTATGAATTCAAACAGATAAAACGCTACAAAGATGAGCTACAGTTCAGTAATTATTCTATCAAATATATTTTAGTGTTCATCAAACTGAGAAACTGTCATTTGTGCTCCCATAATAAGATCACACATTCAATGTGGCACTCAGACGAAAAATATCAAATATATTGATTCTACAATATTTCAACAAGCAGAAGTAAAGTAAATGTTAATAACAACAACTAGGACAATGATTCAATTTTTTAAACTTTAATTGCCATTTTTGACAAAACATGATTGAAGAAAAATACAAAAAAAAAAAGACTGTAGTGAGTGTTTAAAAACCTATTTGTGGGCAGATGATATGCAAAGTTCAATGATTTATTTTGCATTCAAGCAATCAAATGCACCGATCCATCCAGATAGTAAAAAACAAAAACTACCTTGCGTCAGGTACAAAAAGGTGATTCGATCTCTCTAAAACCTGACAAATACTGAACAAAACAACAACGACAGAAACATGAAGCAGGCATGAACGTTATCCATTACTGAAGCGCCTCTCTGGGACGAGCACGCACACCTGTGGCACAATGACTAAGACTCATTTCAGAGGTGTGGAGTCCACACGAGGGCTGAACGATGGCATCTGGGACAAAATAAAAACCAGCAGACAGGGAGGGGTCTTCGTCGACAGTTGGAAGGCATTAGGGTGTCGGACAGGGACTTGTCAGATGCAGCTGTTGCTGTGGCTGATTGATAAGAGTTTGTATTCCACCCCGATGGGAGACCGGAGTCGCTCACCAGTGTTGAGCGGGGTTATGTCAAATTACAAAAAAACAACTACAAAAAAACATTACAGTCAAATTTGAGAAAGACAAACATGACATTTTGCTGAACACTGAAAAGAAACTATCACATATCACCATCTTGTGGCTACTTCCAACCCGCGTCAATCAGCGTGGTGGTTATTTTTCTGTTTTTTTGGTCTTCGATTTTAAAGAATTCATAAGTGTGGTATGATATATAAAAAATCTGAACGTAGCTCTACGTGGTTAACATACGGAGCTATCAAATATATCCTAAATTGCACATTTATAAAAAAAGCATTCAGACTTGTTTGCCCTTCCTCTAAATGGTCCCCGTAGAGTCACCTAGCACTTCGTCACATTAGCAGTACTTGCGTATGGCTGCGCAGCAGTACGCTCGTTTGCATGTACATAATACTCCATGAGATACTCGGACTATGCTATTCAGATTAGATATTCAGACGTGGTACGGCGCACCGATATGTAGCTACCGTACATAACACTAGGCTACTGGCTCCGATCACACGACGACGTCGGATGTTACCGAGTGAAAAAGGAGGAGAAGCACGCTGGACAGCCATACAGCACTTCTCAGTGGAGGGAACATGGCCGAGCCCCACCCAAACATCCTGTAACATAATCACTGGAGATGTTAAACATATCTACAGACAACCTGGGCTCCGCTTGATGTGTGTGTGTGTGTGTGTGTCAGAGTGAGTGATGTGTGCATTAGTGTCCCACATGGTTTAATCACAAGGGCACAGACAGTAGTAGATAAGATTTCTGCCAAAGTTCAATGACTTTTCTTGACAAAACTCGGGTTTAATGGCAACTCTCCTCTGTCGGGTTGCAGCGGCTGACTTGTGCTTGCACACACACACACACACACACACACACACACACACACACACACACACACACACACACACACACACTCTTCCAATTTGTACAAAAATGAGAGCGCAGTGACGGGAGGATGACACGCAATACACTTCTCAGGGGGAGAGGCCGACATCCGCCGTGATTTTACTCGTGCGTACATGTTTGTGTTCGTGCATGAGAGCTCGTGTGTGCATGGGCACCGGCGGGATGTTTCTTCGGCGTTGGCCGCTGATGTCTCTTAGCATTCGCGGTGCTAGCGTTATATCCTCGCGGGCTCCGTGTCTTTGTCCTCCAGCAGGCCAATGAACTGACTGAAGCTCTCCTTCACGGCCTCCAGGTTGTCGGCGGTGCTTCCCTCCAGGATCCAGCGCTTCCCTCTGGCCAGCGGCTCCAGCTCAAAGTACTTCTTGACCTGCCGGTGGAAAAGCGGAGAATGTGGTCAGTCAAGACATTCAGTGGGAGTCCTGTATTAGCAATTCTTCATGCAAATTGAAATGAATTGTGATCATTTTAGAAATGTTTAAATGAACAGCTACTAGCCTGAAACCAAACAAACACATTCAAACATGTTGGAGGAAAGTAGCCAATGTGATGCTTTAGTGGGGACTGAAAACCTCCATGGTAAAGATTTGGGATTGTTTTAAGTGTGTGGAAGTGAGGAACAGGATTATCTTTTTTATTTTTCATTCTATTTTGACCACAGTGTTAAAAAGAGCCACGGTTTCACTGTTGCGGCCAAGAACATTAAAAAGGATAACAGCAGGAGCTCTTTGTATCATTCCTGTCCACGGTTCATTAATTTCCCATGCACATGTGCATTTCCTTCTCACGATCGCTCACAACTACGCGAAGACGCCGCCATGAAACCGGCCGAACACGACTCTGCGTCCACAATGCAACCAAAGCCGACAAATAAATGGAATAAAAACTATAATATAATAAAACAACATGAAATGAAATGAAATAAACGTTTGCTCTTCTCTGGGAAATGTGTGGCTTGTTGGCTTTGGCACTGCTCTTTGGAACAGTTGGTTATAAAGTTCATATGTTGGCTTTTGGCTGCTCATGACAATGCGGGTGTGGGTGGGGGGGGGGGGAACCAGAACCAGCTGCTACGTAAAAACAAATCTCAGCAGAGGGAAACGACGTCTTAGACCACCACTCGAGATACTGCAGGTTGTTAGGGTTTCTGACATTTCCAAGCGTAGAGTAATGGAAGCAATTTTGTTTGCCCAATGAGAACGAAGTTCAGCCATCTCCTCCCGTTTGTCTGATCACCAGTGGAGGAAGTACAAAGACAAATGTGTGCCATCTGCAGCTCTGAGAAGAACATGTCGCCGATGCGATGACACTACATCTTCCCCCCGTGTTTACTTATCTGGTCAGTTTCATGTTCAGTTGGACAGTTTTTTGTTCGTCTGTAAAGGTTTAAAAGATGCGTTTCTCACACTGATCAAGTTACAACATGAACAAATGCTGGAATAGTCATGTGTTGTCCAGCACAGTGTAAGGATGAAGTATTCAGAACGTCATTCAAATTGTATGGGTGTTTTTCATCAGTTATCTTTAATAGTTTAAATATGACAAGCGTGACTGTACACATACTATAAAGTAGACTCTGTTTGTTGGTTTCTTGTACTAATTATTGCAATCTGGTATTCACATAATTAAAGCACACAGGCTTCATCAATCATTGCAAGAATATTTATTCCGTGAAGCCATTTAAAACATTACATGTCCATTATGTCTTTAATGGATATGTTGAGTGCTCAGATAGTATTTCTACATATTTCTGCAAATATAAAAACAAAGATTGATTATTGATCAATTTATTAAAGAGCAGATAACCTCAGTGTTCTCAATTGGTCTTTTTTTCCAATACTAGAAGACGAATACGCTTGTGCACCCTGTAGACTGCACCCAATCCATGCAGGTGCCCGTCACACAGTCAAATTACTTTTCAACTTCAAGTGAAATTGCTTTTGTCTAGACCGTGCTGGGCTGTCTAGCTGTGCCATGGTGTGTGGCATGAAGAGGATAGGGAGGAGGAGGAGGAGAGGGAGAAGGGGGAGGGTATTCTTTGTGTCTGCTCAAATCCAGCCAGCCATGCCAGTGAGTGGGAGAGGGAGCGCTGTCCCTGCCCCTGAGCAGAGTCTCTGTCCGGGTGTAATGTGAGTTTAATGACAGATTAAGTCACCTCAACCGCGTTTGGCTCGGAGGCCTGGATAGAAAGCCGAGCAGACCCAAACAGTGTTAACAAATCTGTCTGGGTAACTTGAGCCGCCCTAGTCCGGGGCCCTAGCCTCAGACCTAGACTGCAGACGATGCAGCTGGCTGCCTGTCTGGCTGGCTGGCTCACTTGTCCGCCTGTAGCCAAGACCCTCTTCTGGAAGACTCTGGCCTCTGCACTGGCAGACTGTCAAAAGGCCAGCAGTGACCTCTGTGCAAGTGCAGACAGGCTCAAGCTTCTCTCACTTCCCCTTCTTGCCTCGGAGGCCAACAGAACACGCCCGGGGGGCATCTTGCAGCGCGACAAATGCCTTCTATCCTTGGTATGATCGGACAACTGATCTGACCAGATGGCTCATTGCGCTTTGAGTGCCTTCATAAAAACACGAGTAGTCGGAGATACCGAAAGAATCCCCCTGTCCAGTTGGTATGAACACCTTTGTACGGGGGGGGGGCGCGCACATGTCATTGAAAGGACACATCCAGCCCGGAGAATTTAATCCCACAATAGGCGGACGGGACACGTCGGCAAAAAGAAAGCGCTGTCTCAGTGTTACACTGCTGAAGGAACCCCGTGACCTTACAGCCGGGCACACCCACACTGGCAGTCAAACAGTGTGGCCCAAACCAGTTTCCCTGAGATTAAGTCCTCCTAAGCGCACTTATGCTTGCTTAAGCAATTGCGTGAGGCATTGGGAAGGGTAAGCCACACAAGACACCGGTTGCCAGATGGCTCCTAAGTTGACCACTGGGTCATCTAGTCTAGCTTCTTCTAGGTCATACAGAGCGGGGGCCTCGCCTTGTGCACAGGAGAAAGCGGCTTATGCATGCATAAGGGTGTCAAAAAAAAAATCTGTAATCACCTGTGTCTGTTTCGACTGTATTCCTGCTGCAGCCGGGTTAGCCACCTGGGTATTCTGTTGTGAAAGTCTTTCGCAACAGGCCTGAATTGTTACAGTGACCTCTGAGCCTGTAGTTGAGAACGGACAACGCATTGGGCTGGATTGTATTTTGAATTCTCATGACATGATTGATGATACAGTCAGTTGTATTCAGCATCAAGAATAACAGATTAACATGAAATTTGTATCCAATTTTTGCAAAGCAGTATCATGAAAGGCCTTCAAATTGGCCAACTTTTTGAAAAAGTTTCTGCATAAGGGGCTAATTTATTTTTGGGTAACAAAAACTCAAATTATGGTAATAAAAAAAATCAAATATGAAGACTGTCCGGCTGCACCAACATCTGACAAATTCACAAATATTGGCTTCGGTTGTTTTCAACATTTATTACGTTAAGTAAGTAAGATTGGATGAGAAATTGGTGATGATGGAAAACATGAATCAGTGTTCAAGTATGCAACTGCTTTAAGGAGTGAATGAGGGAGAGGTGAGGGACAAGTTGGCTGAACGGCTCGTCAGCTAAACGTAATCTCCTACCCTGGTAAGCCTACTTCAGGCTCCTTAAGGCAGCGGATGGGCATGCATGGCACGTGCATTCCAGCTGCTCCCTGAGCCCTGCCAAGATTACTACATGTGATGGTCACTGTTGGCACCATGTCATGTCAAGAGGATATCCTGACAGAATAAAAAGAGCTTTGGCGGCTGTCTACTGGCAGCAGAGCCCTGCTCTGGCCTCCTGACCAACTAAACACACCAGGGAGGCAGAGGCTAAAGAAAAAAATAAGAGACTGGCTGACTGGACTAGAGAGAAGAGAAAGATGCCTGAGGCCAACTTCTAGTCGTGGAGGTGCATAATGTCAGCTGCTGGGAATCTAAGTGAGAGACCCCCCTGACAAATTTATATGCCTAAAAATGTAATGCAAAAATGTAATCTGCAGTGGTGTTTGGTTTGAAAATAAAACTGAGCATTGAAACTAGAAAGCAGGAGATATTGTTCTCAAATGCTTCTTAAATTATAGGATGCACTGAAAAAAAAAGTGAGAAAAATCTGTCTTAAATCAGTACGATAGCAAATCAAGCTAAAATGAACTGCCACTTCACTTCTATCCACACTCATAGTTCAGGCTGTTCTCATGAAGCATTTGTAGCTAATCCTATGAAAATGAATACGCTGTAATTCGTACATAATCCCACTTAATCAAGTCGTATGTAATCCATGTAATCATGAACCAGAAAGTATAAAGACTGCAAAAAGCCACAGGTGGATGGGTAAAAAAAACACCATGATTTTCAGCCAGAAGACCGCTGTTCATACCACCGTGTGAAACTAAAAGTCAATGTTGATTTATTTGTCCCATAACTTCAGTACTTAAGTACTTCCATAGTTAATTCAACCCAAACCAAAATCTTCTCCTAAACCTAACTAAGTAGTTTTGATGCTTAAACCTAACTAAGTATTTCACAATCTTCTACTAAACCTAACTAAGTTGTTTCCTGCAAAGACTGTATGCATGTAACAAATTTGTTGCAGGACTTTCATAGGAAAACGCATGAAAAATGAGTAGTAACTATTTTATATGAACCGTTGTACGAGGGTAAAAGGCAACCCTCAGACCAAATCTAACAAGCTCATACTCCCACTCACACCTTTAGGCAGTCCAGATTGAGTCTGTGCTTCTCTATCGAAGGTGCCCGGCCGGTGTACACATATCTTTGAAGCAAATAAATACACTAACATTTTTAAGAGAAACTAACTTTGTGCCAAACTGCCTTTGGGCAGACAATGTCACAGACACTAACAGTACACAGTCAGCTGACAAATACCAGTAACTGGCCCACCTCTGTCGTGTTTGTCAGTTCTTACTTTGCGTTTGTGCCGAGTAATTCAGGTTAACTGCCGTTCTCAAGGGTGCGATGGCAGAGGTCCAAGGCAACAGATTACACTCGGTTTCCATGCCATGTTCAGGATCTTTCTGATAAAAAGACTTGCTGTGGTTCAATGGTGCTGCGCTATGTACACGAATTTGGGAAAATCTAAAGTCAGATGTAGCATTCTTGCAGAGGTTGACAGCAAAACCAGATGTAACAGACGCAGGTTTGTTGGACACACTCCTACAGCAGATCGGTATCGTAAAAGAAAGTTAAAATGACCTGCGCTGTCAACTCGCAATTTCTCATCTCGGGCAAGTTTTTTTTTGTTGAGTCTGGCTCTCGCAGTTGCCTCAGGATCCAAAAGTCTGAGACAGGTATCAAAACTAAATTCAATAATATCAAATAATA